TCCCTCCCTTTGTTTTCTCTGTAGCTGTCCTGGAACTAACTGGCTTTGTAGCCCAGGCCTGCCTCTGCCCCCCAAGCGCTGGGATCAGAGGTGTGCGCCACCACCACCCAGCCACTTCTTACTTTTTGTTTGCTGGCTAGTTTGTTTCTGAGACAGATTTGCATCGTAGCCCAGGCTGGCCTCAGCCTTCAGGGGCTTCTGCTTCAGCCTCTTGCGTGCTGCGATCGCAAGCGTGTGCCTCCGTGCTTGGCCACTTCTCATTTTAACGCCCCGTCAGACTTGTTCACTTGGTCTACATGGTGCCCATTTCCCCCCGAGTTTCAAACCTGTGCTGTGTGGGGATGATTTCCAGGCGTTCTTCTGCATCTGTTAGCCCTGACAGACTAACATTAACATCCGACAGGCACTTTCCCCTAGCCTGACTGAAATAGGACTGACTTTCGAGGAGTTCAGTGGAGGACATGGGGGATGTGGTCACGGGGTGATGTCCTGTGTCATCCTAACCCATCCAATTTCCTGCTGTGCTGTTGGAACTTCGTGGCTTCAGTTCTCACGGTTACAAGATGACTGATGATTGTCCAGGGCTTGGAACTGCATTCTAGGCAGGAAAAGGGTTCAGGGCGCATCCGGTTAAATGCTCCCCTTCGATGAGGAAATGGTAGCCGGAGACCTCAGTGGGTATGATTCTAGCTGCATTTAATTGGTCAGTACACAGTTTTACAGCTGCCCTGGCTTTCAAGAGAGCTTTTAATCCAGTCGGAATTGGGTCTTGTAACTGCCACTCTGGGTTTGGGAGGAGTTTTTACCTGGGACATTGGTGTTTCTTGGTGAGTGAGGGGGAATGGCTGTGGAGTAGGCTTTTTTGAGTTGTCCTGACAGGCCTGGGAGCTGACTCAGCCAGGAAAGTGCTTGCCGTGTGTATTAGTTACTTTACTGTTGCGGTGATAAAACTCCATGAGCAAGGCAACTTAGGAAGGGTTTCTTTGGTGTTTATCGTCCCTGAGGGATATGAAATTTATCACCATCATGGCGGAGAGCCTGGCGGTTGCCAGGCAGACAGGCATGGGGCCGGAGCAGCAGCTGAGAGCTCACATTAAAATTTTTTGAGACTATAATGACATCATTTCCCCCTTCCTTTCTTCCCTCCAAACTCTCCCATGCCTGCCCTGCACCCTCCCCACCAAGAGCTCCCATCTTGGGGGAGCAAAAGCTGCCACAGTGGGAATGACTGGAGCCTTTTGAAGCCTCAGAGCCCACCCACAGCGACACAGCTCCTCACCCTTCCCATCAGTCCCAGGTATTCAGACCCGTGAGTTGAATCTGTGGCAGCCAATCTCATTCGAACCATCATCGCCTGTGTGCGGTCCCGTGCCCCCACATAAGAACCAGGCTCAGTGGTGCTCACCTGTAACCCCAGCACTGGAAAGTGGAGCCAAGAGGACCCCTGGGGCTTGCTGGCAATCTGTGAGCTCTCCGGGTTCAGTGAGAGACCCTGCCTCGGAAACTGAGGTGGAGGGCGGTGCAAGAACTGCGCCTGACCTCAACACTTGGTCCCCATGAACCTATAGAGACATCGACATAGATACGCGACAGACACACACACACACACACACACACACACACACACACACACGCACGCACG